ACCATGAGTGTCGTGACAGCTATGGCTAGAGTAAAGGTTACAGCAGGAAGGAACAGAGATGTACTGTATCATGCACTATGTAAAAAGTGAACACCTTAGGGTGCGGGATAAAAGCTTTTAAAGGTCCCATAACAATCATCACAGCTAAACGCAGTGCATTGATAATGCATGAATGATTCAATTACTGAATACAGGACACGCCCTCATTGGAATTTAACAGGTTATGTCATAATTTAGCACTGGTGAAATGATGGATGCTTTTCAGGTATATATGCAGAGCCAGACACTCATTAGTTTTCTTATTTTTAACGCCTTGTGGTTTGCACAGTAATACCACAGGATACTCCATTCTATCCTGTGGAATTTAGTACAATCCAGATGATAGGCTGCTACGAGAAGGGAAAAAAACTTGGAGAGGGCCTGTGGTGACGTGCACGGCCTGCAGGGCGGTGTTCTCAGGCGGAGAAAGACACTGACTGGGCTGTGTGAGCCACATCTGGAATAGTAGCTACAAAGAAAGAGTCGAGAGAAGCAGAAGAACCTCGGCGGTACTTTCCCAGCTCTTCAGTTTAGCACTCCCTTTTCACGGAAACTTCCTGCTTTGCCTTTTTGTAAGTTGGAATACTGTACTGGAGCGGGTTTCCTTTTCTTTTATAGGCATATTCCCCGAACAGGCTTTTTTCATTGAGGTTTTCAACTCGTACAACAGAACTTAACCCATGGACCTTTAATCGACTTTGGATTAAATATGACGCGAACATGCAGCTCAGTCTTAAACACGGCTTTACCTGTCCGGTTCGCTCGCTTAACACTATTTTAGACGTGGAGCCTGGGGCACGCGCATGGCGGCACTACGCTGGAATGTTGTCCATGCAGATGAGTTGATTGGAAGTCTGAGTAGCCGCGAAAGTCTTTCATACCCATACCAACTATTGCTTTCGCCATTCTTTTCTCTAGACCTTTTACACGTACTATGAAACGTACCTGAATCGTATTTAAAACATTTGAGCTTAAATGGACATATACAAATTAAATTTCATGACATCAGCTTCAGAATTCGTTTAGTTCCATTACTACGGCGTGACTTTAAACTCAAAACCGACCATTTGAGTCCCATCAGGAAGAAATGATGTAGCTTCTTCTTTCTTTGCACTTTTGAATGTAAGGGGATACTTTCACATTGAGGTAAACATTGCGGTTGGAGCAGAAGTTGGGGAATAGCGCCACCTGGCGTCGATATGAGCTGATATTACAGTGCACACCCAGCAGCGGGTTTGGTAGGAAGGGGCAAATGTTGACTTACTTCTTTTGTCTTATGTATTCCTCTAGATCTACTTGGAAAATGTTGCTCATCCTGCTTGGCGTGATTATTTTGCACTTAGTGATACTCATTCTTCTCATTGTGTCAACAGCCGCCAGTGTAAGTTATAATGTTTCACTTTCTAATGCTCATCTTTAAATTGTTCAACATGTAGAATGGAAATGGGCTTTATATGATGAACCTAGCAAAATTCCAGTTCCATTATTGTTGGATCATTATCATTGTGTAGGCTAGTTCTTGCACTGTGGATGCTGCAGTGTAACTAAATGGTTCTGTGTTGTTGTGTTTACCAGGCCTGGACTGTAGGTGAGGGTAGTAGCAGAGATCTATGGTACGACTGCACGACAACTAATGGAGACTACCGCTGCAGGGCAGCCAGCAATGAAGGCTAGTCAGCATTCCTGAAAAACTAATTATGTATTGTGCTTAGATGTGTTCACCTTTATGATTTCCATCATTTCTGTCTGTCTCCTAGACTGGATCCAGGCTGTACAAGCCCTGATGATCCTGTCCTTGCTCTTCTGCTTCTTCTCCCTCATTGCATTTCTGTATCAGCTCTTCAGACTTGTCAAGGGTGGACGCTTCTTCTTCACCGCAATCTTCCAGGTCTTGGCAAGTGAGTATGACTTCATCAGATGCCGGTGGTTCATGCCCTGACCAAATTCGGGGGGAGTAGTGAGATCATAGGCATTCACTTCAGATTGCTTCAGATTCTCCTCTCATCTTTCCTAGGTTTGTTTGTGATGTGTGCTGCGATCATCTACACTGTGATGAGTCCAGATGGCACACAGTTCGGCTATGCCTACGTGCTGGCCTGGGTAGCTTTCCCTCTCTGTCTCATCAGTGGCCTCATTTATATCATCCTGAGGAAAAAAGAATGAGGGGTAGTTAGGAGACCCCTTACGACAACATCGCACTGTGCCTACTGCCCACAGACCATAGACTGACATCCCAACAATACAATAAAAGTTCATGTGTCACTAACCATTTTTAAACACAAAAAGGAGACAACCGCCATAGCTGTCGATCTTCTGTTGCTGTATACCAGTAACCATTATGTTCCATCCTGTATTCACACCTCTTTGTGAATTTTTACAAACACTGCACGTTACCTGTGTTGGTAGAGTGTTTTCAGAATGTGCTTAGAAATGTGTGGGTGACATATTGACTTTTGTTGCACACTAACACCTGACTTCCACAAATCCATCACGTGTGGTAACAGATGAGTAACCCTGCCTTGCTTCAGTACAAACATGTACATAGTGTCTGTGGTTTTTAGACATATTTATAACATTTTACATACATTTTGTACATAGTGTTGTCAAATTAACATTGTCATTTCGTGATAGAGTTTGTCTCTCACAAATCATGCAGCTGTGCCAAAGAGATGTCGCTTTAACTGCCAGATTGTTTTGTTTGTTTGTGTGTGTGTGTGTGTCACATGCTTTGGACAATGTGCCTTACCAAGAGTATGTTTTTTTTTATGAAGGAAATAGGTAAATCTTCAAAAAAAATTTCAACAAATAAAATAACAGTACAAAGTGTTAATGAACTCATTATTTTTTTTTCTGAATTATCGTACTTGATACACTAAATGAAAATGTTTTGCATTTTGTAATCTAGTTTTGAAAAATGGTGCTTTTTATCTACTATTCATGAAATGTATAGCCTCCTTTGTGTTGTGAGTGTGTCATCTCCTGTGATCAAGTTGCTTTGTACAAACCCAAGTTTGCATTTTTGTCAGTATTCTTCTAAATAAACATTTTGAAATTTGTTGTGCTCCCTGATGAAAATTTCAGTTGTATCAATTCTTTACAGAAGTTGGTAAAGTTTATATAAATAAGTACAGTGTTCTTTCAGATTTATTATCAAAAATATAGTTTTCATATGTGAAATTATGCTATACCCATGCTAGTTGCACTGTTAAGGGGTAGGGTTATGACATTTACAGGTGGCTCCGTGTAAAACTGTAATTGTACCACTTGGTGGAGCTATAATACATAAAACACTCCAGGACCAGTCATTCACCCAGTGGAAGCACAGAGATGTTGGCCAGACACCTGGGGAAATATTTGTGCACAGTATAACCATATTTAATTATATAAATTCACTATGTAGGTATGATGCCATGCTGTTTAAACAGATAGTTAGGCACCTCAATGCGAAACTATCAGGTATGGTCCAGCAGTATCTTTGAGGAAAAGCAGGCACTGACTTTCTTCAGGTTAAGATGTCTCCCTGACAATCACCTGTTCTCTACTCGCTACCAGCACAGTGATGGCACGTTCAGTGTTAGTATAATTCTTTATTTTATGCTGTAATTGGAGAGAGGGTTTACTAAGGCAGAAGGATTCATTCATTCATTCATTTTCTACCGTTTGTCCCCTGAGCGGGGTCACGGGGGGGGGGGGGCGGCGCCAAGCCGGGCCGAATTGGGCGAAGGCGGGGTACACCCTGGACAGGTCACCAATCCATCGCAGGGCAGCATAAGGATCACCATGTAAATATTTTGTATGTGTAGCCGTTTTTTGTTTCATTCTGAGGGTCTAGGAAGGAACATAATGATTAGATTCTGGCACCCTGCAATAGGAGCCTCTGTCATGTCTTTTAAACATAAAGCAGCTAAGCGGTCAGTCAGTGAGTGAAGAAATTACTGGAAGGATCCCATTGCTTGTAATTCCACTAGGTGGTGACTCCCGTGCACTTTTATAGTCTTGTCATTCTTTTACTCCGGAGTGCTTGTATGATGGGTGACGGGTCAGACTAAGAGTGGTTCAAAAGCCCTTTATGAATAGATTAAAATCAAGGACCGTGACGTCACCCGGCATGGCGCAGCTGGGGCTCCACCCTGGAGCCAGGCCCAGGCTTGGAGCTCGAATGCGAGCGCCTGGTGGACGGGCCTCCCCTCCCGGGGCCCGGCCAGGCTTAGCCTGAACGAGCGACGTGGGGATGTCCTCCCGTGGGCCCACCACCTGCAGGAGGATCCGTAAGGGGCCGGTGCACAGTGGAT